ATTTATGTACAATGTATTTTAATCTGCTAAACGCACATCTACTGACTCAACTATACTGGTTTAGTAATAATATTCAAAACATTTTAAAAAGCAACGTGATGACATTTTGAGCCTCCTAGACTCAAGACTGTCGCTCAGAGATAAAAATTCTTTAAAATGTCACTTCTGCGGTCTCCAAATGGGTTAGACTGTTATGTACATATATAATGTTCCTTATATTTTTAATAGTTTCAGTAAAGAAAACAAAAACAAAACATGACCACTCACAAAAGCCTTCTGCTATATTATTTGCATGATTACCAGAAAGAGGACAAAAACGTCAGTATAGGGATTTCAAAATCAGTGCAACTTTTGGTATTTAAATGATTTTGTTTTGCTTCATTAAAAAATTATTGATATTTAAATGTATAGGATGAAATCCTCGACTCATTGAACTCAGTGGGAGTCCTGCCATTAAATTAATTGCTCACCCACCAATTTCCTCTAGTTCACAGTGTTGTTAGTACAGGCTAGTCAGCCATTACATAAGCAGTGGAGGGGGAAAATTTTACACAATTTATAAAAGACATAGGGCCAGATTTTAAAAAGAAATGTTTTACATTAACAACACTTGTTTCCTTGGATTCATTTTGGAAGCTGCAAGTGCATGCAGGAATGGAATGTCACATCCCAGAGGACGATTTGTGCTTCTTCCATTAGGAAGAAACACAAGGGCTACGTCTACACTGGCCCCTTTTCTGGAAGGGGCATGTTAATTTCAGCTATCGTAGTAGGGAAATCCGCGGGGGATTTAAATATCCCCCGCGGCATTTAAATAAAAATGTCCGCCGCTTTTTTCCGGCTTTTAGAAAAGCCGGAAAAGAGCGTCTACACTGGCCCCGATCCTCCGGAAAAAGCGCCCTTTTCAGGGCGCTTTTTCCGGAGGATCGGGGCCAGTGTAGACGCTCTTTTCCGGCTTTTCTAAAAGCCGGAAAAAAGCGGCGGACATTTTTATTTAAATGCCGCGGGGGATTTAAATATCCCCCGCGGATTTCCCTACTACGATAGCTGAAATTAACATGCCCCTTCCGGAAAAGGGGCCAGTGTAGACGAGCCCAAGAAGTTCCTTTTATTTTGTCTGTTTCAGCCAGAAAGTGACTGCGCAACAAATCTAGCGTTTGAAATTGAAACACCTTTCTCTAACAGTCTTTACACTTGTCAAAAAAAGACTTCTGCCCAATGATAATCTGGTCTAATGCAATATCAATTCTATGCAGAAGCTTAAAATGACAACTTATTTTAAATTATTACATTCTTAAAAGTATATGGTAAAACTGTGTAATATAATTGTACAAAATAAGCCCACGGGGCCATCCAAATATAAACATGCCTGGCATATAACTATGAAACCACCTCTGGTTCCTTTTGGGTTTATCTATCAGAACGTGGAAGCCTGCTGAGATGCGTGCTATAATATTAAGATGAGTGACACAGAAGGCTCAATTTCTATTTCAGACAAATTAATTCCAAAATCAAGTTCCAGAGTTCTAATCTCTGTTTTGTGGCTTCTGAACTCCCAGAAGCATAGGACACAGGCACTACAGGCTGGGTCCATCTAGTCCAGTATCCTGTCTCAGACAATGGGGAGTACTAGGAAGGTGTAAGAACCCTGAATAGCTCATATGGGGTAATCTGCCCCCTGAGCATTTTAGGATTCACCCTAATCTGTAATTGGTTTAAGATCTGAAGGATGAGATTTGATATCCCTGTCAAAACTGCTTCATTAATTATGACAATTCTGGATATTCTTAATGTGTATATAAATAATAATCATACCATACTCTTACACAGCACTTTTCATCACGTCCAGTGTCTATTTGATTGGAACTGTAGTCAAGTATTACTGTAAACTGCACCAAACACTCTCAGTTCAACTGATATCATATGGTATTTTATAAGGCTGCCTAGCTTTAACAAAACAAAACCAACACACAGCAATTTAGAGACAGGATAATATATTTTATACATTTTGTATACATTTTATTTCTGTTGGCTCACTTTCATTTTAAGTAACTTTAAACATTTTGATTCCCATAACATACCTGAATCTCAGCTCACCTTTCCATTTGAAAAGCTTCAGGATGATTTTCATAACAGACACTTGATTAAGATAAAAATGCAAAGACTTGAAAGTATCCCCTCTGAGTGGAAAAGCTTGCTTTAGCAAAAGGCAAAAAGATAATTTTCAATATATGGAGAACCTTTAGCATATCATTTTTTTAAAAAAGTTCCACTTCAGTTATGTGGCAACCTCAACACAAAATGTCCAAGACTCAAATATTTTTCCCTAGTGAAAAAAATTATTGCTAGTTGTCTTTGGGAGAGATGGGAAAGAAAACAGGTTTCATGATGTCACCTTTACTCTTTCATTATGGACATACAAATTGAGTGCACAACACCGTATGAGCTGGGATCAGCAGCCTACAGCTAATAATTTTACTCCCTCTTCAACAGAAAGTATTATTATCTGTACATGCAAGGTATCTAGTTGAAAGACTGTTTATATTTTTGGTGAATAAAATACTTAAAAACAAAGATGCATACTGATAAAAAATACCAGTGATGCAGCTCTATGGTGCCTGAAATTTCAGCTGCGAGTTGTTCTAGATTTTAAATGTGGACACGGGAGTGGCACCATATAAATATCTAATGGTTTTTTTCACCCATTAACTATTTTCTACCCTACAACAGTGTGATCTATACTATCTAGCATGAGGAAGATAATGAAACTATCACCTGTGCAAAGAGCCCATTGTTGTACATGTGTTAACTGTACACTGTTTAACCATCATAATTCTTATAACTAGCTGTACTAAAGTTTTGGGAACCCTGTCAGGGGCTAGGAAAAAGCTAGCATATTAATGTGAAGACAGTTTTTAACTTAAAGAACTCTGTATTGTATGATTCATCAGCAAGTGGCAGCAAACGGTCTATGGTTATTAAATCCTGAGCATAGATATAAACAAATGATTCAAGTTTCACCTCTACGTCCAAGTTCCTTTCCATATTCCTACAGAATATTTTTTTAAATTCCTACATTTACAATGTTCTGTTTTACTAACCTATTATCTTTTATTATAGCTAGAATGTCATTGGAAAAAATCTTAAATTATATTTCTTCAAGTATTTATTAACTTTAAAGTTGTTACTCATTTAAATTTTGTAAAGAACCTGAGATACATACTTATTATCAACTTTAAAAAAAAGAATTTCCGGGATCCCATAACAAATCCTTGGTAAGATTAGCAACTACCACTTTGTACTAAACTGCACAATGAAGATATTCAAAAAGATCACTGAACTTTCAAAACAAATGCCAAGCTAAATGCACATTAGAGAAAGGTCAATCCCAAAGTTTAACAGCTGTTGGAAGCCATATTGTCTTTATCTTCTGTACTCATTTAATTAAATGCATAAAAAGTCATCCATGCTTGATGACTGTGATATATAAAGAATACAGGAGTATTATGAAGAATACAAACGGACACAAGATAACAAAAAAGGGACATGGCTGAAGTTAGCAGAATATGACAATCTTTTAAAGGAACATTTTTTCTACAACTTCTGATTTTCACATATTATGGAACAAAAATAAGAAGCTGTGCAGAAAGCCATTGGCTCCCAGATCACAGATACTAGTTGCACATGATCCTGGAGAACAATTTTTAAACCCTACAACTATGAGAAGTCATTCCTCATATCAACTAAATGTTACTCTTATCAAAAAGAATTCTGTAGGTACTCTCACTTACAGTTTCCATATATTCATAGTAAATTAGAATGTCTTAACATTTATGCCTACAATAATACATAAATATATTACATTCAGGACTTCACCCCCAAAAAATTAATCTAATAACTCCCTTAACTTAAAATAAAATCTCAGGAGCGCTCAACTTCTAAATGAGAAATTTAAAGATAGGTAAAAACAGGTCAAGTTTGCAAAGTGAAATTATTTATCAGTAGACAGAGTCCCTCAACAGAGAATTAGCTTAGTAGTAATACTAATTCCAAGATAATCCACCCAGTTAGACCTACTAGAACGTTCACAAGTTATTCTAATTTATTGCTTGCCACATTTTGGCTTCCATCCTGCAAATTTATGCACACAGTTGATTTTGAGCAGTTCCATAGATCTAGTTGTGCTTAACTGTAAGCAACTGCAATACTGTTTGTGGGGGCAGGGCCAAAGATATATATACTGTAATATAAATATTTTGTTTTGAAAGAGCATGTTCTTTACTTGCTTTCACACATTCCTAAAGACTCTAATTAGGAGGTTTAATAAAATCTTCAGGCAACTTCTAGTCTTGATAACTTTTTTCATTTTGATTTGTAATTGAGCAATAATGATTGCCAGGACAGATCATTTCCAGCACATTCATAACCGTCCGGAAATATTTTTTTCCATCACTTGCCGTAACACACATGGAGTTACTCCTCCCCAGGAAATGTCCTGTGCTGAGGTAGTTACTGCTATTCTAAACTAATTAAAAAAACAGGACTTAAGTGTCTGAAAACCACAAGAACGAAGTCTTACAGTTCCTTCATTCTTAGTAGGCTTCATTTCTTTGAAAATTTTTTAATTAATATTCTATTAATAGGTTATTTTGGACAAATCAGAATTAATTCCCCAAAATTAAAAACTGTTTTTTTGAAGTTGCCACATTACTGTTAATGTATGATAGTGTTCACATGAGCTCCTGGGATATACAAATTGCCTACTTCTAAATAGGTTTGTGCACTACAGACTACATTTCTTAACTTACTAATACTTATTTTTTTCCAGTTTCCAGAGGTAAAAAAATGATGACTTTACAGTGTAAATGGGAGGTAAAGGTATTTTTAAAAACAGAATAAAAAGCTATATGTTAAAAACCAGGTCACAGACTAATAAATACATACATCAAAGACATGAAGTTTTCAGCAGCTGGTTTTAAAGAGAAGGAAGGAAAAAGCTAGCTGTCCAAAATCCATTCTGGCTTTGTCACCCATATGCTCTGCAATTAAACCTCTGCAAATAAAAGAAACAAAACAAGCTAACAGAAAAGCAGAAATTAAATTTTTAGCTTTTTAAAAATTAAGCTACTAAGAAAAATGCAGTGTAAAACCCAATGCAATCTACATCGTTTTCATGCACTTGCTTACATTGCATAAAAAAGGGAATTATTTCTAGCCCAGAAAAATGAGTTCTGGTACTGTTAAATAAAGCCTTCCTGAATTTTTTCTACAGTAAAAGGATTTTCTAGAGAAGTAAACCAAAACAATGTTTATAACAAAATATAGAATTATTGTTGCAACTTATCATCAACTTCCAATATTTGAGCAAAACAAAACATCAATTTGCTAGTTAGTCTCAAAATGTTAAAAAGATGCTTTGGCAGCTAATGCCAGAAAATGATGCCGGAAGCCAGGATTTCCAGAACGACCCCCCGTTCCAAAGTGATGTTCAGTCCATGAATTAGACAGAGAGAGAAAACTGATCCTGCTCTATTGGTTTCTCCACCCAGGCTCCAAGCCCTGCCTTCAGGAATGCTTTAAACAAACACTCTTTGGCAGTTTGATACTTAGTGGCCACCTGCTTAGTGTCATGGTACAGGTTCGGTTTGAGGATCTTTGAGCGCAGGCTAGAGGAAAGCTGCACAAATAAAAAGAGAAAGAAAACAAACTATTATACAAGCAATTCCAGGAACCAGAATAAAGAAAAATGAGAGCATGAGGGCTGCAATTTGAAAGAATGACAAACACTGTATTCTATCCTTTCCGGATAGAACGATACAGTTGATTTGTATCCAACTATATATCACTTCACAGCTCACAGCAGAATTACTGGTCCATTGGAACACTGAGGATCTACTCATTTCCCCAGATACTTTGAAGGTGACATTGAAACCACCAACTTATTGTTTGATAGCCGCTAGCTGGAATTTTCTTTGCAATCCATCCTTCTGCTCTTCATGGGATAGTGCTCACACACCTGTGTGGTTACAAAGGCTCCCCTGACAGCAGACGAGAGGGTGAGGGGTATGAAGTAGTATTCCAGTCCTTAAGTAGGAGATACACACACCCTATGTATAACCTCCTGCTATCCTCCCTGACCCCTTAAAGGAGGATGGATTGCAGCAGTATGATGGAATCATCTCTCAACTTTACAGGACAGATTAATATGCAGACTACTGCACTGAAGCTCCCAAAGCCATGTAGAATTTCTGCAGAAATGGAACTTCAGTTAGTGTCATCTCAGGGAAATTCTCTAGTATTTGGTGAATCTGGAGTATCTCCAACTGTTGCTCAGAAAAAATCAAAGTTGTAATCATCTCAGGGAGTTTTAGATCAGAAGGGACCACGAGATCATCCTAATCTGCTCAGTCTTTCTGAAACCTCTGTCAATGGCCCTCATACACTGATGCATCTCTGTAGCTCTTCACTGTATAAAATAGCTGGCTGCAATGCAGACTTCCGGAGAATGCTCCCCTGGGGATGCTAGCGTGCCAATCCTCCTCCTTCAAACAAGTAACTACAAAGCTGATGATGGTTACAGGAACTTTTTCCCTTACACACTCTTCTTTAGGTCTGTTCATTATTACGTCTCTCTCAAAGAGGTTTAAGTAGTTCTTTGAAAACTTGTGCATGATATTGGCGATAACTGGACCTGAGAGTCTCTACATTTTTTCATTTTATTTTTATTACTATGAGAGACAATGGCAACTCTTTTCTGCACTACAGGATGATATCTGCAGCAGTTTGGAAAAGGTATTCTGCATTTTTTCCCCCCTCGTTGTAGAATTAATACCATTAAAGCATGGATAAGGAAGCATTTTCCCCTGAATTGATGCTGGAAGCTATCAGTTTGTTTCTCATGTTCAACCAACTAACCCATCTTTCATGAATGTCTTTTTGTTTTCCCTTTAATTTTTTTGTGTTTCTTCACTTGTGTCATGCAGCTGTGAATTCACGAGAATTTGTTTTTCATTTGGAAGAGAACATTGAGACACCAATGTTCTACAGAACCATAGAAGCACAGGAACGGAAGGAACTTTGAGAAATCATCTAATCCAGTTCCCTGCACTCATGGGAGGACTAAGTTTTATCTAGCTTACCAAACAGGCGTTTGTCTAACCTGCTCTTAAACCTCTCCAATGATGTAAGATTGTATAATTTCCCTCAGCAATTTATTCCAGTGCTTAACCACCATGACAAGAAGTTTTTCCTAATGTCCAACCCTTGCTGCAATTGAAGCCCATTATTTCTTGTCCTATTCTTAGAGGTTACAAAGAACATTTGCTCTCCCTCTCCCTACATTTTGTAGGACTCTTTTTTGAATTTTAGGTAATAGAAGATCTTCTGGTTAAGCCAGGACAGTCTCTTGCCATACTTCTAGCCAGGGTGACGTGTTTTAATCATTTCTTAAGCTGTTCATGTTCTATTACACCCAAGGTTAAGCTATGAGCGTAAATGAAGGTTGCAACTTTCTTAACAAGCCCAAAACTTCATTTCTTTCAGTTGTTCTATAGCAAATCCACTTTGCTATACTTTACTTTGGGATATGCTGTGAGCTAATCTTCTGTGATTCTATGACAGAGATTACAGCTGAACAAGACTTATATTAAAAAGCTGCCAAAAACATTGCAAGGTATATTTAAATTATCAGTAAGACTATGTGTAGATGGTGATGATATCAGATTTCATACCTGTACAATCAGTGAACTCATACATGTTATGCTATTTTAAAATATTTGCCTTCAAAGACGCATTTAATCCTAAAGAATCCAGAGAAAACTATTTTTTGCATTGTCTGAGATAAGCACAAATCCTTTTTACCTTGCTATTTTATACATTTGGCAATGTTTACCTTTTACTTTGGAAGAATTATGTTTATTCAATTGCTTGTTTCCTACCATTTCCCTCAGCATTTAAATTACTGTACTGAAGTTTACTGATCTCTAAATACTAATCAGCCCTTTGCAGTACTGACATTTAGAACTTTCACATTTACTACAGTATGATGGAGAAACAGTTAGCTAGGCAGTTCAGCACTTTGAAGACTGAAAGCTAAGATGTTATTAGGGATCCTGACTATCTACCAGAAGATTCTAGATTCTGGTGTACTAATACCACATAATGTTGCAAAACTTCTCCCAATCTACTCTCACCAACACCAAATCATAGTGGAGTCGACCCACCAAGAAGCACCCTGTTGTCAAGCCATCAGTGACCCCACTATTCTACAGTTTTACAGCTTTCTTATTGTTTCCTAATAGGTATAAACAAAAAACATGATGTATTCGTGACCCCTTTCACTTTTTAAAGCCACTTATAGATTGAAATTAGAACATCTACATCAAAAGCGTTCATGTACTGGTATATTCATGAAAATATTTCAGAGTGAAATGTTAATTAAGTTGGGGGAAGGGAAGAAGAAAAATATTTAAAACTAATTGGTTATTTTTCTGAATAAATCTTAGTTTCTTTTACACAGCCCTGCCTGTTCTGCTGCCTTAAAAAGACAGAGATGTCTTCCTTTCACATATGCTTGTGAGAAGCGTCTCTGAACAATGACAGAGGACTAAGAAGATGGCAGGGGGCGAAAGTGAACGACAAGTTCAAGTCACAATCTCAGCACCCAGCTGTCTATACAGCTGTACTTCAATGCCTTGCTGCACTGTAATGAGAAAGGGACTGCTGTAGGAATACTGATTCTGCTGAAATAGCTGGCTCAAGTTGCTATTTGTTTCTATCGATCCAACTGCTTTGGATAGAGGACTCTGAAAATCTGAAGGATTGCCATCTACTGCTGGTACCTTTCAGCTTTTCCAGAGTATCATCTATCATAAGGCAAAGCTATCCAAACTCTCAAAAACAATTCTTTGACTTTTACCTCCACTTCCTCGGGAAGACCAGGGGAGCCCAAGCGCAGCGACTACCTTTAACCTCAGTAGGGGTAGGATTTTACCCCACACATTCTCAAATAGGAACGCCTCATTACACTAAACTACAGACTCCCCCCAGGGGGTGGCTTCTTTGTCATAGGTTGGCTCGGGGTATGATCTGGCAAATCTTAGTCATCCTGATGTGTAACCTCAGTATTCCACATGCTAGGCTCCAGAGGAGCTACCACTGGTTGAACCTTTCTAGTCCAGCACCTTCAGGACCTACCCAGTGCCAAACCAGAGAAACTGCCAAACCATGGGAGTTCAGTATTGTAACAAGTGGGTCTCTCTTTACTTATATTCTGCCAAGGTAAAGAAACAGAACATTTCTTGAAATGTTACTTTATATATAACTGTACTGATACTCCCTACATAAGCCCACGCCCAGGCAAGGCTTATCAGCTCTCTCCATAACTATGTTTTAGTATTATAAAATGTTATTGTACTGGCACAAGGATATAAGTAGCAGAAAACACAAGCTTACACTTAGCAGCATTACTAACACTTCGAATGCTCTTGGGCTATTAAGAGACATTTGGGGTAAATTAGAGCTAAATAACAGCACAGAACATTGAGAGCCAGGACTGGTGGTTGTAAACAAACTTTACGGGACAGTGGGAAAGTTGGCCACACCCACAATAAGTGGCCATTCAGGTAACTAAAATCATGCTTGACTATGGATGTTGCTGAACTAGAATGGTTCAACCTGAAAAAGTCCAGCACCTTGCAATTATTAGCAAAGCTTAAAGGGGTTATCATTTTTACTTTACTTATTTTAGAGGCAGTTAATTAGCTCATCACAAACATTTATGCCAGAAATGAGCATATTAAAGAAAATGTGGAATGAAGACATCTCTCCCCCATTTTTATCTATAGTTCAGTAACACACAAATTAGGAACTTCAAAAACATTTTAGAAAAGGCTTTTTATATCCACGCAACTGCTACAACACAGGAAGCCAGCATAACTTATTAGAAAGGTGGTTATTAGATTGAGCAAAACAGAAACCCAGCACTAAAAAATGAACACAGACAGACAGCTCCTTCTATCCTTAGATACATACCTTTGCATGAATACGCATCCAGCGACTGTACAAAGCGTGCTTACAAAGGCGAGATGCACGACCCATCTCATCCTTTCCAGTTGTGGCATTAATAACTTCAAGAGCAGTATCGCCTACTGTCCAGTTTACACTGAAATTAGGTGCTTTTCCTGGTTGTCGGGCTTCTGCATTGCTAATACCTGAAAGGGAAGAGATACACAATAAAAATGTGCAATTCTTATAAAGTTGTCAACAGATGAAGGCGTGATTGGACAGCCGACACATATCATTTCATTAGGTATTTTTATAGCTGTGGCTCTAAAATACCTTCATGATTTTCAACTGCTACTTGAGGCTTTAGCCATGTACATTCCATTACTATTTATGAGGACTGTGCAGCTAAGGTGTACTCTCCTGTTATCACTCTCACTACTGCATATCTGCTTTATGAGAAATCTGAAAATACACACTTGTGCTGGTGACTGTAGGAAAGGTAAAAAGATTATAGAGCTCTGTAACAAGGATCACATCAAACAGTACTACTGGAGCATCACAGTATACATCACATCTTGGGTTGATCTTAGGTTAGCTCATAAACTAATCAACAGCTTAATACAGAAATGCCCAGGTTCCCTAGTCTTGTTAGTAGCCCTGCACTGTATGTGTCTAAGTACTCTTAAGTAGAAATAGTGCCCTTAATCAGTTCTCATTCATGGTACAAAGAATATAAAAATAGCACATACATACAGCCACATGAAATGGCTCAGAGAAGATTTCACAAAAACTCCGGCTAGAGTCTCGTAATACAGAAAAGGGATCTATCTATAATAGCTGGTAATAGCTTAATGTCAGGTTTAGGACAACTTCCTTGCTGTAGTCACAAACAACTTGCTTACAGTACATAGTTTGCAAACGTTTGAGAACTTCAAAATTATGTCAAGTATTCGTGTTAGTCCGAATCTACAAAAGCAAAAGCGGCGAGGAGTCCTGTGGCACCTTATAGACTAACTGAAGTGTTGGAGCATAAGCTTTCGTGGGCAAAGACCCACTTCGTCAGATGCATCTTATGCTCCAACACTTCAGTTAGTCTATAAGGTGCCACAGGACTCCTCGCCGCTTTTGCTTTTTCAAAGTTATGTTACTGTTGGAACACATTCAGTTACTATGCAGCCTTCTCCATTAGATACTTGCCACTAAGTAAAGGTCTGTTGAGCGTATACAGAGGAGGTAGATCTTCTATCTCTGCTATCCGCTGGTATACTGCTCTGGACAGATGGTCCCCATGATATAAACTCCCCAAGATGATACTAGAGAAGTAAATTGGCTCCACAAAGAGGCTAAGTAAGGATCCTTGAATACCCAACACATTCCACCTAGGGAGAAGAGGAAAAAAATCTTTTTAACAGAATAAAAGGAGACCATCTCAATGGACTAGAGATTCAGACTCTTCTATTGTCCAGAGTCTGACCTTATTATAGCCAATTATCCAGCCAGAGGCTCACAGCACAGCTCTTCACCATGCCCGGGGCACACACATTGTAACCCTGAATGTCAAAAGGTGCCGCCAATCTGCCACGTGGCAGCCAAACCACCATTTCAGAGGCAAAGTCCATGACTCTGGCTCCCAACTGCCATAACTGGTGAGGCCTATTCAAATATCTTAGTGTATGGAGAGGGATGAAATCTTGCCAGCTGAAGGAATGCCAATCACTCTTTAGCATGAAGGGGACACTCATGACTTCAAAAGAGATCAGTCAGGGAGAAAGTCCCTTTCCTAGGGTCAGAATGCAGGAGAGACAGGGAATTTCCAAAGATTGTCCACCTCCCCCTAAGAAACAATCTTGTCCCCTTCAGCCACAAGTTGCCTTGCCCCTCTTACTACTTCATATGGAAAAGTGCAACTCTATAGCTACTGCGGTATCTATGGCTCTGCATAGGGCAACATTTACATCCATGTTCAAAAGCATCAGGATTAAGATGACTGCTAAGCATTTAAAAGACTTTAAAAACCACAATCCCCATGCTGGGGTATTTGAACCAGTCTCTGTCTTGCAGTATTCTGCAGGGACACTTTGGCTGAATTTCTGTATCAAATGCAACCATAATGGTGTCCAAGTGAATGAAAAAACAGGGGAGGTACAATTAGGTTTCCTCTGGTGCCCTTGCATAGCAACTAACTACAATTGCAGTTTTTGTGCTCCTCTGAGCATAGGGCTTGTGGTACCACTCTTAGTAAGGTGCCAGGAACAACTGAGACAGCCAAGAGAAGCACAGACTGGAGGTACAGTACTACTTTGAGCTCCTGAGGGGTGGCACAGCTCCATCAGCACAGACCAGAGGCTATCAGGTAGAACTTAAGACATGGCTAAAAAGTGCAAAAGAAATAATCAACTCTATAAGAGCTTTGTAAAATTATTAAAAGCTCAAAGCAACTATTTACTCTCATAACCTTACTATCATGAGGATGGAAATGAAATCACCATATATTAGTTTACCTACCTGTCATTAAAAATGTTTGTCCCAGGTTATGGGGAGAGCAAGTAGTATATTGCAGTAATGCAAAACATGCAAGGGAAAGATTAAGGCACATTTTATATTATACTATCATTAGATTTGCCAATAAAATATTGCAATATAAAAATAAAGAAGTTGTAAGAAAATCTATTTCATTCGTTTTAAAGCTATACAAGGATTACTCCACACATGTAAAAGACTATATTGATGATCATCTTTATATGTGAGAAGCCAGTAACAATTTTAGAATCAGACCCACTGAGAACATTTGTAGACTTTACCAGAAGGAGCAAGCAGATATTTATATGGCATTTTAAAGCAGCAGCACATGTGGAGCCCGGGTTCAGCTGGACCCCAGGCTCCATGAGGGTGCTTCCTCTTTGAAATGCACAAGAGCGCCTGCTGGGGCACTCCCGCCAAGATGGCACACCCGCGTGCAGCCCAGAGTCAGTGGGACTTCCCACTGGCCCCGGGCTGCACATGATGTTCCGCATTCCTCCTTTGAAATGTGAGAGAGCCCCAACGGGGGCTCTTGTACATTTCAAAGGAGGAATGCAGAAGTGTATATTGACTAGTCGAGTAATGGATGGAAATTCCATCGACTCCTCAACTAGTAAATTAATCGTTAGTTAACATCCCTAGCCTGGGGATTATAGTGGATGAGAAACTGAATACGAGTCAACTTCTCGTAGTTGCATTAAGAGGAGCACTAAAGTGACTGTTCCTATCTATTCAGCACTGGGGAGGCCACATCTGTAGACATGTGTCCACTTTTTGGGGCCCTCTACAAAAAAAAAAAAAGTTGTTGACAAATTGGAGCAAGCCCAGCGGAGGGCAACAAAAATTATTAGGATGCTGGGGCGCATGACTTATGAGGTGAGGCTGAGGGAACCACTCTTATTTAGTCTGCAGAAAAATGAGGGGGGGGGGGAGAGATTGATAGCCGCCTTCAACTACTTTAAGTGGGGGGTCCAAAGAGGATGGAGAGAGGCTGTTCTCAGTGCTGACAGATGACAGAACAAGAAGCAGTTGTCTCAAGTTGGAGTGTGGGAGGTCTAGATAAGATATTAAAAAAAACTATTTCACTAAGAGGGTGCTGAAGCACTGGAATGGCTTACCTAGGGAAGTGGTGGAATCTCCGTCCTTAGAGGTTTTTAAAGGCCTGGACTGAGAAAGCCCTAGCTGAGATGATTTAGTTGGGGATGATCTCTCTTTGAGCAAGGGGTTGGACTAGCTGACCTCCTATGGTGTCTTCCAACCCTAATTTTCTATGACTCCCTATCACCACTCCCATTAAGATTTTATCATTGTTCATCTCATTATTATGTTTATTCGCTACTGCTGCTTCTCTGAGAAAATATAAACACAAATGATGCCATTTTATTTAGAATTTCATATAGATACTGAATAGATCCAACAATTATGAGTTTGCATGCACAAGGCATAGATTACGGTAATTTGCTGGTGTGATTCAAGCTTGTAAATTAGCTTTTAAAACTACAGAAAGGCTGATCCTACAATTCCTAGTGATGCAAGTAGGCCCACTGATTAACTGGGCTACTTCAACTGAACAAGGAAATGCCAGATTAGATTTTAGATCCAGTGATTAGTTCTGGTCTATCATAGGACATACACCTTTATTATTAATGAAGTCCCATCAACACTGTAATGCAGTTTTTCACCTTTAATATCAGCTTTCCTGACAACTTGGGCTGGTTGAAAATTTTTCATAATTTTTCTGTTTTTCTCCCCTCATTCTCTCACCCCTTCACTCTCTCTCTCTCACACACACACACAGATAGGCTTTTTTTCTGTTACAAGGAACTTATTTTTAAATGTCTTTTCTGCTATGCAACATTATGATGTTCCATCAAAAATCCTCTAAACTGATTTAGAAATGCTGCTGCAGAAGGTCATGAAAGTTTTAGTTTAGGTGCCTCATGTCTCTAGACTGAGTTCTCCAGCTGAACTGGCCTCTGAAAATCAGTCTCTCATTCAAAGTGTGCAAAAGAGTGCTGGCTGGCTCTTTCTTGCTACAGAGTACCCGTCTCACTGCCTCGGAAATGACTGTTCTATGTTTCAGTCATTTTCTTAGCCCATAAAACAATTCCTAGTACAAAATCTCTCTCAGTTATTATATAATTTAACCTCAACCCACACTGATTGTTGCTGTCTGTGTAGTTGTTTCAGGGATTTTATCTAACTAGCAGTTAATGCATACACACACACACACACACACACAAATTAATTTTTAAAAAATTCTAATATTTATTCAGTTCTCTCTATAGCACATTAGGTGAACTTTGTAAAATTATCATGTATGTTTCTTTTCCCTTTATTCAGTGTGCACTTTTTAATCTCTGCTATTAACATAGCCTCAGTGATACACACTTTTTTTGTACTTCTTCGTTTTTCTTGTTTTCTTTTTCACACTTAATATATGACAGAAGGGAAGCCGCAGATCCACATCACAATCTTTTAAATAGGTAGAGTCATGGTTTCCCTGCTATGCTGTCAAACATCCACCTCAAACTAACATATGCCCTTGGCCAAGTATGCTGCAAACACTTGATATTTCTGAATTCATTATTCAAACCAATTTCATTTCCGTATACATGAGAGAGAGATATATATGCCTAATTCTACATCAATATAGCAGCACAGACTTTGCCAGCATACTTGTTGCTGTAATAAGAAGATGGGAATTTGTGCTGCAAGTTTTAAAAATTCATTGCATAGGACTTTTCAAACTTCATTGCACTGCAACCTCCCTCCTAACAATGAAAATTACTACACAACCCCAGAACATTCAGGAGTCCTGTAACCTGAGTCCCAACATGCAGGGCTGAAACACTCAGGCTTTGGCCTCTGGTGTTGGGGCTTGGGCATCAGGCGAGAGACCCAACTTGCACAAAGTCTAAGCCAGACCCATTAAAATGGCATCACAACCCACTTGGCGGTTCTGATCCACAGTTTGAGAACCGCTGGTATCAGAAACATATTTACAGTACTCTGGAGCAACAATAGGAATGAGGGTGTGTAAGTATAGAATTTCCATTCATCCAGATATTCAGGATATGCAAAAAGTAGATATTAAGAACACCTTTCAGTGATGTATGTTTTAGGATGCTAATGGTAACCAGGGTCCTAATTTCAGAATAAAACCAGAATAGGGAAGAATACCGAACACTTAATATCTTACCTAGCTATCTTGTCACTGCAAGACATGGTAAGCAGTCTTTCTCCCTGTAATACTCCATCCCATGTCTGGATTGTAGTAGTAGATCTGACAGGAATTGTCCCTTCTCCAGATTCTATTTTTGTCCGGAGCTGTCCTCTTGCTTTACGATTTGGATGTCTGTCTCCCTGATCTAAGTGACAAAAATTGTTTTAAGTCAATTAAGAAACAACTGTATAGAAGGTGTTGATTATGACATGAGAGAAGGCAATGCATTTTTATGCTGTTAACCATCTTGGAAAAGGACACAAAGATGGATACCAATTTCTATTACTCATATTGCTTCACCATCAAAGCTCATTCTCGTATAAAATATTCTCCACAATAGGTATGTCATTAAATGAAGCTCTTCAAGAAAGAATATCTTAGATAAAGCATTTAGTTCTGAAGTTCAGATGTGTGCATTTCGATGCTAGAATGAAATTAACAAGCCAGTGTAGTTGTAGCCATGTTGGTCTCATTATATTCTAGAGACGAGGTGGATGAAGTATTCTCTATTAGTGAACCAATGCTTTCACCAACAGTGGTTGCTCATATAAAAGGTATTACTTCACTCACTTTGTCTCATTAACAAATCAGAAATTCAGAGAAAACCAACAAAAATTAATAAAAGGCAGCAATAATGAGGAAACACCCAATGAGTTACATAAAGACACATAGGGTATGTCTACACTACAATGTTAGTTCGAACTAACGGATGTTAGTCCTCATTTTACGAGGACTAAGCCTAGTTCGAACTTACTAGTTCGAATTAAGGGGTGTGTAGCCCCTTAATTTGAACTAGTGGGAGGCTAGCCCTCCCCAGGTTTCCCTGGTGGCCACTCTGGCCAACACCAGGGAAACTCATCTGCCCCCCTCCCGGCCCCGGATCCCTTAAAGGGGCACGGGCTGGCTACGGTGCCCGTGCCAGGTGCAAGCCTGCCAGCACCCAGCTAGCAGACCCTGCACCTGGCACGGCACAGAGCCACCCACCCGATGCCCCCCAGCCCACCCCCTCTTGCCGGGACCAGGCTGGCGGCTCCCGGGAGCTTGCCCTGGACCGCAAGAGGCGGGCACCTTCCTGGGCTAGTGCGGACATCGTGGAACTCGTCCACGATCTCTGCACTAGGCACAGGAAAGTGGCCGTCTAGGGCAGGAGAGCTGCCAGCCTGGCCACCCAGGAGCAGGTGTGCATGAAAATCAAGGGGGTCCACTGAGACCCCCGACCCTGAGCCCTGAGCTTACAATGGCCGTACTGGGTCAGACCAAAGGTCCATCTAGCCCAGTAGCCTGTCTGCCAACAGCGGCCAACCCTAGGGACCCTGGAGGGGATGGACCGAAGACAGTGTCCAAGCCATTTGTCTCGTGCCATCCCTCTCCAGCCTTCCACAAACTTTGGGCAGGGACACCACTCCTACCCTCTGGCTAATAGGACTCCATGGACCCAACCTCCATGACTTGATCTCACTTCCCTTTAAACTCTGTTCTAGTTGTAGCCTTCACAGCCTCCTGCAGCAAGGAGTTCCACAGGTTAACTATTTGCTTTGGGAAGAAGAACAACTTTCTCTTACTAGTTTGAAGCCTGCTACCCATTCCTTTCCTTTGGTGTCCTCTAGTCCTTCTTTATGGGAACTCATGAAGAACTTTTCTGAATGCACCCTCTCCACCCAACCCCTGCTTTTAGAGACCTCTATCCTGTCCCCTCTCCGTCTCCTCTTTTCTAAGCTGAACAGTCCCAGTCTCTGTAGCCTCTCTTCATCTGGGACCTGTTCCCAACCCCTGATCATGTTAGTTGCCCTCCCCTCTCCCAGCCTTTCTCTTCCCCTCTCCCACCTCCTTTTCCCAGTCTCCCCCAGTTTTTTTCAATAAAGACAGAGTCAATGTTGGAAGAAACGTTATCTTTATTTTGTACATCAATAAGAAGGGGGGCTAGGGAAGGGTAAGTGGAAGGAGGTGAGGGAGGAATGGGGTACGAGCCCCCGATGGGGAGGACTGGGCTGGCTCTGCGGGCTTCTGGGGGTGGAAGCTCTCCTGCAGCCCCCCAATTACCCCCTCTCCCCAGATGGCAGCCTGCGGCAAGTGCAGCCGGGCTGATGGCCGAGTGCTGTGATGTGCCCAGTGTGGGCACTCCGGGGACTCCAAGCCAGGACTGGTTTTCAAGCGGGGCACCCCTGAGAACTGTCTGTCCGGGGTGGGGGTCGGGTCCCTTTAAGTGCAGCCCTCGGCTAGCCTGAGAGAGCATCTCCGCGCTCTAAGTCCTCCTCTGATGCCCTGCCGGCACTGCTTCCGGCCATCCTTAAGCCCTGTTCAGGGTCCATTCAATGTGGACATGCTAGTTCAAATTAGCAAAATGCTAATTTGAACTAGTTTTTAGTTCTAGACGCATTAGTTCGAATTAGCTTAGTTCGAATTAACTGATGTAGACATACCCTCAGTGAGTTACTGACTTACCCTAACAGAATCCAGGATGTTCCCTGGCTCTAGTCTCTAAAGCAAATGGCCAGTGTCCATTTATATTTTAAGTAAATGGTCCACATTTTTAAGAGGAGATCTTTCTTTAAAAAAAATAAATCCATATACAGAAGGCCAGAAGTAAAAAGACTATTTACTTCTAATGCTGACATTCATCTGTAATCAAATATACTGTGAGCAATTCCTTTATAATTACTATCATACCCTCTTGCGCTGCTTCATGTGGTGAGAAAATCCTAGCATCTCCACATGGGGAGGTACTGATATACAAATGAAATTGGACATTTTCTTTCAGTTTAAATCCTCCTCGTTCAGACTTGATAAAGATGGATTTTTGTTGATCTTCTTTATTACTGAAATAGGAAGAGAAACAAGTCTAATAGGTTAAGCACAATCTAACTTACTATACATTAACATTATTAAAGTATGGCCTCAAATGTGGTACCTAAAAGTTATTAGAAGCCATACAGAATGAAAAGAAGCTAGAAACAAAAAATAAAGAGGACTTGACATTGCCCAGTGAATGTATAAAGCACCATTAGTAAATGAAAAAAAATTATACAATTGCTGGTCCATTGGCTGGCATTTAAATTTTACTTCCACAAATTCGAAGAACAGCTGCATAACTAAAATGTGTTTATACTATTTATGAACTATAATAAACATGTGAGAATATAATACTCTTATGGATGCTCCTTAAAATGAGTATTTTTGTGTGAACTAACACTTCACGACGGAGGCCAGAGTTCTCAATTTAAAATTTCAGCAACTTCTGCTATTTTATAATTTTTTTCAATGGGACAACTCAGCTTTTGGTTACATTTCAAATAATCATAAGATAGCCACATAATATTCATAACACAATCCATGTCCTTATGCTTACCTTACGAACAGCTCAAGTTGCGTATAAAGAAATTTAAGCAGGCACCTTCGAGATATAATTTCTGCATGACAATCGTTTAATGCAAGACCACGGTCACTCATGTACTCTCCATTTATGCATTTTGTCCCTGTGGAAACACTTATAACCTGGGCATCCTTCACATCTGTACCTGGGAAACAAATTTCAGAAAAAAAATGTAATGACCAAAACATTAATAAATGACTTTATTTTTTGGAATCCACTTTCAGGGAGCCCCCTGCAATCTCATGCTGCTTTCTCTGATTCAGAGGCAGCAATATAATGTGACAGCAGCCCCAACCTCACTGCAGACCGAGATTACTCTGGCATCACACAGAGCAGCCTCTGTCCATGGCAAACCCAGGACCTCTGCCTGATACAGAGCCAGCACCAGCTGGGAAGGTAGCTCGGCTGAGTCAGTGCTTGTGGGGAGCCGGTTCCCACCTGTCCCCAACTTGCTATCTCTGTGGAAGGCAGCAAGGGAGGAGTGCAGACAGCTCTGCAGAACTAGCACACACAGAAAAAGTGGCTTTTAAAGAAAGCTTTAAATGACATCATGGTACTAGAACTACTCACATTCTCAACAATACAAGTTCTAGGATATCCAATCCCCAGGATATTTTTTGGTTAACAAAACTTATTAGTAGGAGACCCAGCATTTCTGCTTCTTGTCAGAACACTCAGTTTTACTATGCACAGCTCTTGGTACCACAGATGCAGGAGCACTTGCTGTATCCCTCAAGGGTCAGAGTGACCAGGTTCCAGAGGTAGAGGCACTAAAAGTGCTTGGAAATCAATGTACAGGGTGATTCTAGGAGCCTAGGTTGATGGCTAGTCTTGCTCCTTCATTAACAATTTACATTTTATTTTTATGAGATCTAATTTTTAAGAAGCAGTTTTTATATTTGGCTCGTATATGCATGGATGTCTTCCTAACAATGGAGGCATGAAGAGTGCTTGTCACTGACTAGGATAGCTTCCCAGCAGGAAAGAAAACGCTCCAAGCCTGGGAATCCTGGCATATCCCAGAACAAGCTCTGAAATGGGGAAAGAACTCCATCATGATTATGCACTGAATATGTACCAGAACTGGTATTTATATTGTGTCTATAACCATGGCATCTCAGCACTTAAAAGTAGTACCGATTTTCTTTTTACCTGTTGTCATAACAATTCCAGCAAGAACTTTTCTACGTGCATGGGGAGATGTGAAATTATCAGTCAAATCACTGAATTTATCCACAACCAAACGTGCAACAGCATCAGCTAAAACCTGCAGAATCACAGAAATACATGTTAGAAAGAGTCAAACAAAAAACAACTATGCCAACATTTAATGTGATGGATTTAAAAAAAAAAATCACCACATTGTTAATTTTTTATTCTCCTCTGATATTCGTTAAACAAAATTTCCCGGTATCCACTACCTCTAGGTGTCCCCTGGAGATATCTAGCATCTGATTTTCCAGAGTACTGAGCACTCTCACCTCCTAAATGCCTCAACTGGAGTTTTGGTTCTTGGTCCTCAAACTGAAAACCTAAAAACTCAAGGACCTAAAATTAGGGACAATTTTGAAAAACTGGGCCTGGGTGAAGAAATGAATGAATGGCAGAATGATTCAGTGCTTTTATTTCAACATACATTATTTCGAAGTCCTCAACATGAATCATTGCTTTTATCCTTTTGTGTCAAAAATATTTCATTCCTATGACTTAAATACTTATCCCACCTGCTCCACTGACCCTATCCTACCCCACCTCCTGGCTTAACATTTTCTCCCTCACTGTTTTCCACTTCTTCCTCTTTTCTGGGTGATTTCCCTCTCAATATAAGCATTCTTGAGTCCTCACCACCTTAAAATACCACTCACCCATGACACAATTTCTCTCTCCAATTATCATTCCATCTCCCTTCTTCTCTTCCTCTCTAAGATCACTGTAAATGTTACCAGAATTTCTACGTGGAATTTCTTGGCTTCAATTTCTTCCTAGATTCTTTCCAATTTGGTATTCACTTTCTGTGCTTCACAGACACCAGCATCACCAAAATCTATACCGGCCTTCCATGGCCATATTTCAAAATCCCTTGACTGTCAGGTGCCTTTGACACAGTTGTGCTCTTTTCCAAATCTTGTTCTACTTCAACTTTGATGACTCAGTCTTTTCATTTTCCTCTTACCTCTCTGTCTGATGTAGAAAAAGCTTAAATACTCAATACTATTTTTGCCTCAGCCTTCACAGACAAGGTCCGCTCTCAGATTGCTGCACTGGACAGCAAAGTGTGGGGAGGACATTAGCAGCCCTTAGTGGTGAAAGAACACATTAAAGACTATTTAGAAAAGCTCGGCATGCACATGTTTGTGGGGCAAGATTTTATGCATCCAAGGATGCTGACAAAGACTGCAGCTGCCTGATTTAACTGCAGAGCTGTTGGCCGTTACTTTTGAAAGCTTATGGCGATCAGGTAAAGTCCTAGATGACTGAGATGACAGAGTCCTAGATGAGTATACAAATATAGTGCCTATCTTTAAAAAAAGAGAAGAAGGAAAATCCAGAGAACTGCAGACCGGTCAGCCTCACCTCAGTTCCTGGAAAAAGCATGGAATGGGTCCTCAAATAATGCTTTCTGAAACAGCTGGAGGAGAGGAAGGTCATTAGGAACAGTCAACATGGATTCACCAAGGGTTGCCTGACCAACCTGATTGCCCTCTATGACAAGATGACTAGCTCTGTGGAGAGGGGGAAAGCGGTGGACGTGATATACCTTGACTTCAGCAAAGCTTTTGATATGGTCTCCCATAGCATTCTCACCTGCAACTTAAGGAAGTATGATTTGAATGAATGGACCATATATAAAGCAGACAGAAAGCTGGCTAGATAGTCAGGCTCAACAGGTAGCGATCAATGGCTTGATGTCTAGTTGGCGGTCGGTATCAAACAGAGTGCCCCAGGGATTCATCCTGAGGCTGATTTTGTTCAACATCTTAATTTATTATCTGGATGATGGGATACTACTCTCAACAAGTTCATGGATGACACTAAGCTAGAGGGAGATGTAGATAGGCTGGAGGATAACGATAGGTTCAGAGTGACAAATTGGGCTAAAAGAAATCTGATTAGGTTCAACAAGGACAAGTGCAACATCCTGCATTTAGAATGCAAGAATCCTATGCATTGCTAAAGGCTGGGGACAGGCTAACTAAGCAGAAATTCTGCAGAACAGGACCTGGGAATTACAATGGATGAGAAGCTGGATAGGAGTCAACAGTGAGTCCTTGTTGCCAAGAAGGTTAATTGATACTGGATTGCATTAATAGGAATGTTGCTAGCAGATTGAGAAAAGTCACTATTCCCCTCTATTCAGTACTCCTGAGGCCATGTCTGGAGTATTCCATCCAGTTTTGGACCCCCCCACTACAAAAAAAAAGATAAGGATGAATTGGAGAAAGTCCAGTGGAAGGCAATGAAAATTATTAGGGCAGTGGTCACCAACCAGTAGATCGGCATCTACCAGTAGATCCTAGAACCTCTGACAAGTGATCCTGAATGGCTTGGCCAGGAAGCTATCAAGTACTGGCACTTCAGCTGCCCCTCCACCCACTGTCATGCAGTTTCTGTCCTCTGTCTTGGAGCTGCACCCCCCGCTTCTCCTGGGTGCAGGTGCAGTAGGGAGAAAAGGAGGAGCTGATGTCAGGGTGTCCCTCCTCCTGCAACTTCTGTACCCTATCTCCACACAGAGAGAAGGGGATGGAGGACGGTTGGCAATGCAAATCTGTCACACTCACCCACTGTGTTTGTCATGCTCACAAACACACACTCCTTCACTTGCATCTCCCAACCCAAAACGTATATGGCGGGGGGTGGTTGTTACTTCTGTTACTGCTTGCAAAGTGGGCTATTCTTGGTTTTTGACTGGTCTGTGCATTTCATAATTTTCATTTATCTTATGCTTAAATTTAAGTCTTTGAGCAGTGAATTCAAAACGCCCAACACATCATGGCTGGAGTAATTAGCCTTGTAGTAATTGCTGCCCCGGGGAAGTGGCTGGCATGTCCCTGCAGCCCCTGAGAAAGGCAAAGCAGGGTGTCTCCATATGCTGACCTTGCCTGCAGACACCACTCCTTCAGCTCCCATTGATCAGTAATGGGGAACCTTGTCCAATACAAGCTATGTGCTCAATGCCTGTAGATGAAGGGCAGTACATGGCACCATGGAGCTATTGCTGTACATGCCAGCTGCTTTCAGGCTTGGTTCAGGGCCAGGGCAGGAGTAAGCCTGCCTAAACCCCACAGCCCCAGCACACGGAAGCTGGCTCAGTAAAACAGTGGCCAGCCAGAGCCTGAATCATGAACCCCTGTCCCAAACCTGAGCCTCATCCTGCACCCAACCTCCTGCCTCAGACATGAGTCCTGATGCACCCAAACTCCATCCCAGAGTTTGCACCAGCTGAATGAGATGGGATTTCCCTGTTGACTGTCTTGCCCCACATGGCAGGGTACAGGGCATTTGCCCCACTCCACGACCGGGACTTCCCTCCTGGCCCCACTCTCTGGGGGAGACTTAGGGGGGTCCTGTGGTTCTCTGCCTGCAGCCCAGATGTGTCATATGCACCACAGGTTGAGAACCACTACTCTGGTCAGAGGAATGAGACTTTTCCACTCCTATCTGGTCAGCCCTCTGAATGGCTGACATTTACAAACAAAAAAATTTCATTTCACTGCTTCATGAACTGTTCAGTTCCAATAAGCCTAGGTCTTAGTGCTAAAACACATTCATTTCTCAAATATCAGATACCAAAACATATGCTCACAATTTTCAAATATCTAATAATGTTAGATTCTGCATTTTGACAACAAAGATTTGACATTTTTGCCTTCTGAGGTAATAACGTATTAATCACACATCTTAGAACTATAGAGCTCTTCTCTATTCAATTCTCTTCAATTTCAGTGGCTTGTCATTTCTACAGATTTATGATAAGCCATGAACTTTAAAGCTTCAAAGCTACTAATATCAACCTAAAGAAGCTGAAATCTGTGTATTTTCTGACATGGAAATCAAGGTAATTTCAACTACAAACGATCTAAAGTTCTTAATATTTTATACATTTTGGCCTATTGCTAATATAAGGGGCAATCTTAAAACAGCTGATTTTTTCCCCAATTTTCCAAATTTAGATCTTGCCCAGAAAAGTGTCAACTGACTGGAATGACTTGATTTATTCTCTGATAACATTGCCAAACTGTTAGGGGAGAAACATAAAAGGCCTGATTTTCAAAGATGGCCTCTCCCCCTCAATCACAGAAGCAATTTTACACCTGGAAATTGCCAACATATTTGAACCCACAATAAAATGTAGCATTTGAATGTCTAATTATGATAATATTCCTGCATTCACTGCACCTGGAAGTATGCTAGAATCATTACTTGTGGGCATAAATCTGTGTCCGGAAAAAATGGAGACCGGGTTGTAGGTAGCAGAAAATAGTTAATTTGCACCCATGTCATCTTAGTCAAATTTAGGGTGTTCTGAGAAACTGAGATATTTGACTTTCAAGGGACTTACCAAAATGAAGATGAAAATAGCTTGTTTTTGTTTGCTCAACAACAGAATAAATTTGGTATTACTTCCACAGAAAGAGATATGGAGCAATCATTTAATCTCCAATATATTATCAGTGTGGTCCTGAAATCCTTCCTTGATATTGATACAGAAAGTGGTTTGAAATGCCACATCACAAAAATATTAATTCATGTGTTAAAATGCAAAACATTACATTTAACTCCTCTTATACAAAATAAAATACAAGAAAGGCATAGTGCGCTCTCTCCTTTATGGCAATATTTTGAATCCTGTCTTCTGATCAGTGGTTTGTGTTAGCTGAGTTACAGTTTAAAGTCAAATTCCTAGTGTACAGATTGTCTTCATCATTAACAGCAATAAATTTAAACCCTTATTGCCAGGTATACGTAAAGTTACATTTACACTACAAGCAAGGGCTGTGATTACCTTGTTCATACACACTTACCGGGAGCTCGCATTCAGGATGTCACTGAGAGGCTTACCAAGCTGATCAAACCTTCGGATCGCTACCCCTTCCTGCTTCTCCACGTGGGAACTAATGATACGGCCAAGAATGATCTTGAGCGTGTTACTGCAGATTATGTAGCGCTAGGAAGAAGGATCCAAGAATTTGGAGCGCAAGTGGTATTCTCCTCCATCCTCCCTGTTGAAGGGAAAGGACTGAGCAGGGATCGTCGAATTGAGGACGT